AAGACTAAGGTTAAGTTCGAAGATGAGCTTAATCGGGCGAGTAATTTGGAAATGACAGGATTTTGAAATTTTGAAAATCGTAAAAATTGATGTTTTTACTACTTTAACTTGGTATAATTATTGAACTAGACAAGATATTAAAATTTGGTAAATGCATCGTAAAGCTCTTTTAATAAGCTTCAATTTTCACTACTCAGAAGTGGTAATAGCCTCAATATTACTCCTTTTAGAGTTCGTCAAGTTTTACTGTTGCAGCCGTTTTAGAATTATTGTCTGCATCATAGCTTATAATCATATGATGTAAATTCAATAATTACGATATTGATCAGTCTTTCGTGTAATGTTTTCGAGTAGGTTGTCAGTAAATATGTCACAAATTAGTTTTAAACATTGTTTTCTTCAATTAAAATTTTATCTGGTTTCAAAATTCTGATTAACTCGGAAATTTTGGACATTTATAAATACAATCTTATAATCTTTGCAATTCTTTGGTAAATATTTTAGAAACTTTTTCTTCACAAGATAATTTTTTTTCCAAAGTTTGTTCCAAATAGTTTTCAATTCATTATTGAATTTATTTTTTAATTCATGAATTAAGTTATCCATTGTTAGTGTTATTATATTATTTTATTAAAAATCAATTTTCTTTATTTGAAAAATCTACTTCCATTTCGGCTGCCGAATGGCCTTTTTTTATGCTGGAACCATTTTTCGAGAATAAAGTAATACTGAGCTTAGCAGATGGATGTGATAAAATTCCGATAGTTCTGCATGAGCTAGGACACGCGATTGGATTGGAGCATGAACATATTCGTCCTGATCGTGACATGTTTATTGATGTCATTTATGAAAATATACCAGAAGGTCAGTGTATACACTTACACAAAAATTATTTTTGATAATTAATATAACACTAAGTTAAAATTACTTGTTGGTTTGTAAACAGAATTTTTTAGTGAATTTGAAAAAGGATCAGCTCATGATGTACAAACCTTCAACCAAACCTACGACTATCATTCAGTCATGCACTACCCCAGTGATGCATTCTCAATTTATTGGCCTCTGGAAACCCTATTACCAAAACAAGAAAATCTATCTCTTGGAAACATCAAACTAAGTGAGGGTGATATATCCACTGCAAATATGTTATACAGTTGTCCCAGTAAGTGTGATCTATTTTGATAAAGTTTTTAACTTTCTGCTTTAAAAATCAATGATTTTCAAAAATTGGAAAGTTCATTATCGCCTTGATTTTCGAACATTGTATTTTTCATTAGATTCTCACTGTTAAGTCTTCGGATGCTGCTCTGACTATTCTTATGAGGTCATGAATTTTGTAGATGTGTGTGTGTGTGTGTGTGTGTGTGTGTGTGTGTGTGTGTGTGTGTGTGTGTGTGTGCGCGCAAGCCTCTCATTACTGGGAGAACTTAAATTTGAACCAATTCGTCCTGATAGATTGTGTAAGAACCCAGATCCTGTAAGAAAATTCAAAATTAAAAATTCCGAAAAAGTTTTTTTTTTTTAACTTCCCGTTAAGAAAATTGAAAATTTTCAAAAATCGGAAAGTTATTGGTTTTACATCCTTTTTCGAAAATCGAGTTTTCATCAGACCTCGACGTTTTAAGGTCCTAGAAAGCTTTCGTGACTATTCCCGCGGTGATGTCACCGTGTCTGTGTGTGTATGTGTGTATGTAAATCTGTCGTAACTTTTGAACGGTCTATCCGATTCAATCGAAATAAGCGGCTTTCCAAAGAGTTTCATTGTCCTTAGATTTATAATACTAGTTCAGAAAATTCAAGTCGATCAATTTTGAGAAATCTCAAAAATTAAATTTCCAAATATTCGTTTTTTTGTAATAACTTTTAAATTGCTCTACCGATCAATTCCAAAAACTAATCAGCTCCTAACTTCAAAAAACCACGCTGATCGCCACCAGTCCGGTCAAAATCAGTTGATTCGTTTGTGAGATATCGTCGAAAAAAATTGGAAAAAATGTTTTTTTTAGAATTTCTATGAAATTTTTAGTCTGACCAGTTTGCGTTCTAAAATATCTTAAAAGGCTTAAAAAACTGCGCTGAATGCCGTAAACCGCGAGGAAATCGGTTGACTCATTCAAAAGTTATTACGGTTTAAAAATTCAAAAAATAGTGTTACATGAAACGTCTATCAGATTTTTGAGCTTGAAGAGCTCAAAAGCATAGAACAGTCATCTTTTTGAGCTTGGAAAGCTCAAAATAAACCAAAAATAATATTTTTGAGCTCGAAGAGCTCAAAAACAAAATGAGTGAAATGTTGTGCGATTAGATATAGAGTTAGCGGGAAGTTGCAGGGATGGCCTTTAGGATCAATCGTTTTCCTAATTTTTTTTTTTTTAAATTCAAGTCATTGCATCGATCACATTAAAATGGGTACATGAAGTCAAGAGATATCTTTAAAAAATTTTAAAAAGAAGTTTTTTACACATAACTTTGAAATTTCCTATCAGATTGTTTTGTAAGTAACGAATGAGTGATCTTTTTAGAATAAAAAATCGCGTTGAATATTGCGAATCAAATCGAATCCAGTTGATTAGTTCAGGAGATATCAAAATTCTAGATCTTCAATAAAAAATTGCTACACTCTTACAACTACTGGATTTTCGGGTGCTAAGAGCTCAAAAATGTTTAAAAGTGGTATTTACGACTTTGGAAAGATGATGATTTTGGGATAGAATACTTTTCGAGTAATTTGAGCTCAAGAATAGTGAGCTCTGTAATAAACACAACTTATCAATCATGAAATTTATTGTTACTCGATCAATAAAAATAATAAATTTTAATAATGAGTTTTTACTAATTCTTTTAGAATGCGGAGGAATCTTCTACGGGATTTTTGATTCATTCGGTTTCTAAACGCATTCAAGCAATTCAACTCAAATGAAAAACTGCGAATGGAGAATCAAAGCTTCAAAGGGTGAAAAAATCGAACTTGTAATACCTACGTTATAAGTATTTTTCAGAATCCTAACTGCTCAGATGCATTTTTAGAAATAAGAACTGGTTATCCACCTCATAGCACTGTCTTAGGTAATTCCTCTTAATAAAGAAATAGTAGTGTATAATGTCTGCATATTCACGGTAAACATATCTCTAATATATGGATTAGAAGCATAAATCGTCTGATTCTGTTACAGGCCGATACTGTGGAAATTTTTCATCCATCAGAATCAAGACCAATAATGTTTTATTCGTGACATACGTGAAATCAACGACAAGTAATCCTTCCATAGGTTTCACAGCTCACTACAATATTATATGTGGCGGAATTTTTGACATCAAGGTAGATACTCCTTTCAACCTGGAATCAACTAATTTTCCAGATGCGTATCCACCAAATCGACGATGCAGTTGGAAATTTACTGCACCAAATAATCATCGCATAGCGATGAAAATTCACTATTTTGAGCTTGAATTGAATGACAATTGTATCGATTTTCTTATGATTAAGGATGGTATTGATTATAACTCAAAAGTCATTGGAGTGTACTGTGGTGAACGCGATTCATGGCAAATTAATTCAACTGATAATAAATTATTGGTTATCTTTTCTAGTGACTCAATAATCAATTATTCAGGATTTTCAGCAACTTTGTTTGCAATACCCTTAGATGGGTGATCATATAAACTATGATCCTGAAGTATAAGTTATACGGTAGTGCAACAAAACTCGCCATCCCTTTTTTGAATCTTCTATGATTATACATTGGTTTATTATCCTTTAAGATCAGGTTCAACAAATTTTTACTAAGCCGATTTTTTGAAAAAGTTTCTAAAGCATCAAGAGGTAAACTAATTTATTTTTAAGAAAACTTATAAAATCAGTATGCAATTGCTTTGTATCTCCCAAATAATTATGTGCAATCTATAACATGACTGTAAAAATAAAATTTTTCTTTCTTTACAAAAATCGAATGTCTCACTAGATACTTCCAATAAATTCCACTATTAACCCTTTAACATTCTGGAGCTTCGAGGAATCTTGGTGTGAGCCCGGAGGGGGCAAAACCAATCATAATGCGTTAAACGGCTGTGTGAGTAGCGGCGTGACTGTATAATGTGTCCGTGCGCCCCTTCTACTATTTTTCAAGCCTTTCTCTACAAAACAGATTATAGCTCTCTCACTTAAAGAAGAAGACGGACGATTGAAATTGGGAGTAGGAGTTCAAGGTCCCGTTAAAGGGTTAATGGGTAGTAGGGAAATTTGATCAATTTTTCGCTAAATTATTATACTCATAAATTTGTTAGTTTTCATAATGAAGCATCAATGTTATAATAAAATGAAAATCAAACAATTTTTCTGTGTTGGCTTCAATCTATTGAACCCATGGCAATTATTCTTTCAAAATTTTGCATCCATTTCACATAAATTATTCTACGATCAATTTTTCTTAATCTTGGAAATAAACGATAGTAGTATGGGGCACAACCTGCGAGACAGTGTCTATACAGTCAAGTCTTGTCAAGACTGTCTAGCCCCCTTCCCTTTCCCTTAAGGTGATTAGCTGTCAATATGGTCACTAACTGGGCCCTGTGAGGGCATCTGCATGTTTTCACGCCTTGGTGGGGGCTAATGGAAATATTAGGTAATCTATAATAATTACGGTGGGACTAGTGATGTGAAGCAAAGCATGTGCTCGTCAAATGCTCGTCATTTGACGTCAATTGACCAACTGAAAAAAAAATGAACGCCGGTCATTTTTTGAATTAAATGGCGATTTAATTTAAAAGCTAAATTAAAAAAATTTTAAAACTTGACCAAAAAATGACCGAAAAATTTTTGATGGTCATTTTCCATCTAAGTAGTTGAGCAAGCCAGATTTGTTTACTACCGTCAGAATTTTTAGATAAATTTTGTGTTTGAATTAATAGATATAGTGATTGTTTTTAACAAATAATCTGTAGAATCAATTTCAGCAAACAAATTTTACCGGATTCTTAAGTCCAAAAAATTGACCAAAAAATGACCGAAAAATTTTTGACGGTCATTTTCCATCTAAGTAGTTGAGCAAGCCAAATTTGTTTATTACCGTCAGAATTTTCAGACAAATTTTGTTTTAAATATTTAAAATATTGAGATTGCATCTGAAATAGATTAGTTTGATTTTTTTTTTAAGAGAAATTTTAGTAAAAAGAAAAAAAAATGCTCATGAATTTTTGTGATTGACTAAAAAAAAATGACGTCAATTGACGAGCAAATGCTCGTCAATTGCTCGTGATTTGACCAAAGTTGAAAATGACCGTCATTTCGCATCACTAGGTGGGACATAAATAGATTTAAAAATAATATTTTTCCAATTTTTTTTACATCTGGTGTGTCTGGGTGATAGATCACATTGAACAACTACCTATCGTTGACTACATTAATTCTGTCATGTAAGACACATGATGGAAGTTGTGTTTTTGAAGAGCTTGAAGATCTAAAAACTGTTTGAACCGTTTATCAAATTTTTTTTCACAACAGTGTAGTAATAAATCGAATGTGGTAAAAATCAGTTTCATTTACTAATAATAACATATTAGTTATCTGAAATTACAATGGTACTTTTCTGACAAGAAAATTCTAATAAATTTCAATTTTTACAACATGATCAGAAACTTTATATCATTAATAATGATTCATTATTCTCTCGAATCTTATATATATATTTCTTCTGTGCGTGTGTTTGTCACTGAACTTCTCCTAAACGGCTGGACTGCTTTTAATGAAATTTTTTGTGTGTCTTCAGGAGGATTCGAGAATAGTCTAGATTCATAATTCAGTCCACGGGAAAATGTTTATTCAATTGATTTTTTATTTACAAATATTTCTATTTATAAATTGTTGTTGATCTTAGAATGTTTTACATTAGATCTGACAGACAGCGCTGCGATCGGAATATCGAATATTCCAAAATATTATGTAAACGTTGGCTACATTGGTTAAACCAACGCCTTGTATTTTATATTACTTTTTTAATAAAAAAAAAAAAATATTCCAAAATATTTCATTCTAATTTCAGTGTGATCCGATAGCAGGCGCTGCGATCAGATTCAAGAAAATTTGGTGTTATTGTGGTAAAATCAATCACGTGCTAATTGAAATACATTGTAACAACGTTTAGATAATAATTTTCATCAAATAAGTTTAAACTGTTACAGCTTATACAAATAAGCTTAAAATTTCTAAATTTAAAACGTGTGTGCAGGATAACATCTGTCGGGCCCACTAGTATTATATCATTTAAAAACAAAAAATCTTTGTCGAATATTTAGTTTTCGATGAAAAAATTTTCTGATATTAGAGTTAATGAATATTAAAAATGATTAACTTTATTCTTTATTCAAGCAAATTTATTTTTGATAAAATGTTGATAACACAGAAATTCAATTTTAATAATATCATAGTTGTACAATTAAATTAAATATTTAATCTATTATCTAAATAGTATAAATCCCTTGATCCTTAATTAACCATTCAAATACTCTCAAGATCTGTAAGTTCCGCACGTAGGTATATATACTGGATGCAGATAAATCTGACCTTATGTAAATTAAACCAAATGGGAACGCCGGTAGGGCAAATATGGTATTTGTACTTGAGAAGGTAGATTCCCATATTGGGTAATCCTTTTCGGTTGGATGAGTCTTATAAAATATATTAAATTTATTCTTCCCTTTAATCACTACGGCATATTATAAATGTCAATCACTTAACAAACAATTTATTATTTAATTACCCCCATTCTTTCGTTTGATTGAAGCTGTGATAACTTAAAGTTTTGATGGAAATAATTTAAAAACTTGTGAAAGTTATTGGCAATAACTTTCACAAGTTATTGCTAATTACGCCGAGAAACTTTCTTGAGCAGGTTGAAGGCGTCGTAGATAACTTGAGAGCAGGATGCAAAACAACAACCTCGAAGAGTAAATAACCGAAAACAGCGCTATCTATACTTAAGAACGGCGTGGCCATCTTCGTGAAGAATTCAAAAATGGATTACCTATTTTGGTATAATTAACTAAATCAAAAGTAAAAGGACAACAAGGTCATGACATTGAAACGATGAGACAAAATGCTAAAGAATATCAAGACAATGTGCTGTTAAGTCGCCAATAACACACGATTACATTTGGATGAAACAAGGATGTTGGCTAAAAAGATATTTCCCCTTCGACGGAACATCAAACAGACGGCTCTAATAGGGTGAAAGACTCTGTAAAGCTACTGGAGCGATATTCGACAGGAGGATTCAGTTTCCATTATACGGTATCAGTGTTTTTTGTTACGAAAAGTGTTTATGGATTCACTTTTTTTTGGTGGATATGTTATCTCAATCTGATCATCGTTTCCTGCCAATATTTAGACAATATGCATTTTTTTAAAGTTTCATTAGAATATTATATTGTACTTTATAAATATTATAATAAAACTTCAGGTCTTGAGATATAATACGTAATAAGAATCAGGTGAAAAGACCATCAATAAATTTTAACACAATTATTCGGTATAACGAATGGCATTTCCTGACAAATTTTGGGCGTAAAGGATTTATTCGATTTTTATAGAATTTTTTATTAGGAGTTTCGTTCGGCCATTTTTGCTGGAATTTAAAAATTTCAAAATTTAGCCGAACAAAACTCCTGTTAAAAAATTCTATGAAATTCAAATAAATCCCTGACGCTCAAAATATGTCAGGAAATGCCCAAACACAACTCCTGTTAAAAGCGGAACTCAAAATTCCAATTTTAAGAAGTCCATCAAGGAAGTTACATTTTGGCACACCCTAATACATACTCATAGTATATGTCTAAAGAAATATCTAAGGATATATTATATCTGCGGACATTGAAATTAAAGTAAAGGTCATTGCAAATATTTCTTTGAGAATATAAAACAGCTGATATAATTTTGTAATCAGAAATAAATTTTCCATACATACGCCCTCTATGAAAATTTACAGATATTATGCGTATATTCAAGTACATTTTTAGGCAAATTTGAATGTATACCAGAATACATCCTACACAGAAAGAAAAAAATCTTGATTCGAAAGTAGATTTTCTTGGCTTAAAAAAATATTAAGGAAGACTAAAAACTTCTAGAATGAAGTTAAAATTTTTTAAACGAAGAAGTCAAATTTTCTTGAGACAAGATAATTTCTCTTTGGTCCAAAAAAACTTTGGTATCCCTCGAAATTTTTTTGGCGCAAGAAATTCTTTTTTTCTGTGGGATATATTCCCAGTATATAATATTCATTTTATAATAAAGATATGCAAGTCATAAAATGTTCCTGATTTTCTTAATTAAATGAATAAATTGATATTTGACATATAACGACATTCGATGTATCGAACAAAATAAATAAATAAATAAATAAATAAATTTTGTACATCGAAAAATTTGCTGAAAGACTATTCTAATAGTAATAAATTCAAATAAAGAAATCAATTTATAATATAAATCCGTCGGAGACAGAATTTTCCTCATTCTGTATTAGATTTACTACATTATCAAAAAAATGTTTATAAAACGTAATAAAAATCAGGTGAAAAGACCATCAATAAATTTTAACACAATTATTCGGTATAACGAATAATTGTGTTAAAATTTATTGATGGTCTTTTCACCTGATTTTT